CATTCGGTGAAATTTTACAATCATTTGCCAAATGAATAGATGAGAATTTCTGTATTAAATTGTATCAGGCGTTCAAAAAAGGAATAAAATGTTGACCAATTATTTCAACACGAAAATACATCAACAAGGAAAATTGATTAAAAAATATGAGACATAACTTCTGTATCTTTTAAAAAAGACATTGTTTCATTTGCTAAGGGTATGATGAAGTATCATTGGCTTTTGAGATGATTATAAATGAAGGAATGTTAAATGACATACATAAAGACTGAAGATATTTGATGAGATCACACACAATTTTAGTGATGTTAATTATGTTTTTTTTTTTTTAAGCATTTCACCCCAAGCAAGGCGGGAAGCCACTAGCATGCAAGGGGTTATAGAGGATTTGAAGCGAGAGCAGATAGGAGTGATAGAGGAAAGGATGAGGAGAAGGATAGTGGATAGATCAAGGCAACTGGAGATGTCAATTGACATTACATTTGAATAGTTGGAGATTATAGCTATTGGGGAAACAGGAACAGGGAAGGGAGTTCCACAGGTGATAGGTGCAGGATATGAGGCTATTGGAGTAGAAGAAACGGCTACATTTAAAAGTTTCTACAGTGAAAGGGTGAGAGCGGGATGTCAGCCTCATAGGGCGCTTGAATTCATGAAGTCTGAGAAGCAGCTCATCGGAGCAATTACCATGAAAGTATTTGTAAAAAAGACAGAGAGAGACGTATGTGGAAAAATAATATTTTGCAGCTGAAATCTTGCTTTATCCAATGGTGTTAATGTGATCCCTGTATCTGTTGTAGTTCCCATGAAAATAAATAAGACACATTACTTTTGGATTGTCCCTTGTATTATTCTATATCAGTAATATATCTTACTATATAATATGCCGTTATGGTTGGCATCTAGACTCTTGTTCATCATCTGTGGAAATGCATGGCCACTAGTGAAGATGAGTATATGAAAAAATAGTTTTTCTAGCTGCCTATCCTTGTGTAGCTTACATGGAAATAAACAGTGACATTACTTTGGAAGCATCCACTGCATCCCTTGCAACTGTTATAGTCAATTATAATTTAACAACTGTTTACTGCTACTGCTGAGGCTGATAAAATGTTATGAGAGAGTAGTTTTGCTCAAGCATTTATTCACTCACTGACTCACTTCTTTCTTGGCCATTTTAACATGCCAGTAACAAAATATTTAGTGAAGATACCTGTTAATGGGAGAGAGTCTACGGTGAAGGACTCTGGAAGAATGAAGCCACTCTAGCACTTTTGCAACAACACTGTCATCAAAGTGAAACTACAGTAAAGAATATTGTACTTTATAAGTAACTGTTCTGAAATTGACCAGATCTTAAACAACTCCACTATTGACATCAGTAGGAACTCATAAGCAACTGTTCTGAAATTTGACCAGATCTTAAACAAATCCACTATTGACATCAGTAGGAACTCATAAGCAACTGTTCTGAAATTTGACCAGATCTTAAACAAATCCACTATTGACATCAGTAGGAACTCATAAGCAACTGTTCTGAAATTTGACCAGATCTTAAACAAATCCACTATTGACATCAGTAGGAACTCACGCAAAGCAACTGTTCTGAAATTTGACCAGATCTTAAACAAATCCACTATTGACATCAGTAGGAACTCATAAGCAACTGTTCTGAAATTTGACCAGATCTTAAACAAATCCACTATTGACATCAGTAGGAACTCATAAGCAACTGTTCTGAAATTTGACCAGATCTTAAACAAATCCACTATTGACATCAGTAGGAACTCATAAGCAACTGTTCTGAAATTTGACCAGATCTTAAACAACTCCACTATTGACATCAGTAGGAACTCATAAGCAACTGTTCTGAAATTTGACCAGATCTTAAACAAATCCACTATTGACATCAGTAGGAACTCATAAGCAACTGTTCTGAAATTTGACCAGATCTTAAACAAATCCACTATTGACATCAGTAGGAACTCATAAGCAACTGTTCTGAAATTTGACCAGATCTTAAACAAATCCACTATTGACATCAGTAGGAACTCATAAGCAACTGTTCTGAAATTTGACCAGATCTTAAACAAATCCACTATTGACATCAGTAGGAACTCTCAAGCAACTGTTCTGAAATTTGACCAGATCTTAAACAAATCCACTATTGACATCAGTAGGAACTCATAAAAAGCAACTGTTCTGAAATTTGACCAGATCTTAAACAAATCCACTATTGACATCAGTAGGAACTCATAAGCAACTGTTCTGAAATTTGACCAGATCTTAAACAAATCCACGATTGACATCAGTAGGAACTCATAAGCAACTGTTCTGAAATTTGGCAAAATCTTAATCAACTCCACTATTGATGTTAGTGTGGCTTAAACAACTTAAAAAACAGAAAATAAAAACATAAAATTAACCAAAAATTGTCAGTAAATTCTGAATTTTATACTGTAATTCAAGAATTTTATCAATTTTACTAGTTTATTTTTAAATATTTTTCTTTTCTATATATTAGAACTAAGCATGAAAAATACAAGCAAACCTTTAAGCAACTTGTATACTCATTTATTGTACCAAAAATATGCAACCTGAATAGTGATTAAAATTCTTTGCAACTTATAAAAAAAATCATGTAATTTTTAATATGTTCTATTCTATTCTTCATTTTCTACCAACTCCCTTTTCAATCATGTCTCTTATTCATACACTTCATTCATCATGACCTTTCTAATAGTAACCTTCTACCTTGAGTGGTTCTCAAGCTTTGTACTGGCTTTATTATATTATTAAAAAGAAAAGTTTCTCTTAAATATATAGCTGCAGAAACTCATCAAAAGTATGAAAATAATTTTTTAAAGTATTAAAAAAAATGTATGAATTTTTTGTATTCTCTTCCTAAATTACAGGAATGTACTCTAGAAATATTATTTTTAGTATTTTTAATATTGAAAATAAAATAAAATCATTAACAAAAAAAAATTTTGAAATCCATGTTATCCCGAACCAAACCAATTCTATTACCCCAACTCTGATTACTTTTTAAAATATTTTCTATTCTTAAGCCATTTTTCACGTCCATTGACATTTTTAGTTTTTGATTTTCATTATATGTTCTTTTTAAAAATTTATCAGTCACCTTGGGAGCGTCACAATGTCTTCTGAAAGCTTTTCTTATGCTGTGCACCTCTTTCTAACTTGCGACCGACTTGGATGAAGACATTTATTTGAAGGCAAGAAGGGGTGAAAGGGAACTGCAATGCCTGTCCAGTGGATTTGATACAAGAGACACCCGTGAGGAAATCACAGATGGCTTACAAGAATTGCGGCTCCAAGCTGCTGGTATTTTTGGTTACGACTGCAAAACATTTCCAACTTTTTAACTAAATAAACCAATAATTATCCTTTCGAAATAAAAGAAAAGAATGGCAACCCACCACTCCGCTTGTCATTCCTTGTGGATAAATGAATAAATGAATGACTGACTGACTAAAAAGTGAAGGTAAAGGAAGAAGAAAAAAAGAGTATGTGAAAAAGTGGGAAGAAAATAATTAGTAGTGAAAGATAAAAAAAAAAGAAAAATGCCACTGAATATTGTCACTCATTTTGGTATTCATCACTTCACACTAGCACCAAATTACCATTTGTCAATTTATTTTGTGTTTCAAGATTTAAAAAAAATAAAAAAAATTCTGAAGAAAGATATATAAGAAAAAAAAAAAAACTAAAGACAGTTTTTTTCTCTTAAAATTTTTAAAAAGGAGATGAATGAAAGAATGGAAAAAAAATTCTGTCCTCAAAATTTGAAACAACCCCCTCCTAAACCGTCCTAAATACACACATACACCAAAAAAAAAAAAAAAGCTTAATACCTAAAAAATAAAGTTTCATCTTTTTATCCTCTCGCCACTACTGACAAAGCAACCATTGCATCACTACCCGCCACCCATTGCATACACACATGCACCCTTCAATATTTTATATTAGCAAACACAGCATAAAATTTTTCCGTGGTGTAATGCCATTTATCTCTTGTCTCTTTTCTCTTCCATGTCCTGGGATGTCATCGTCTGCATATGTGTCTAATTTTTTTGGCTGTCTGTAAAAAAAAAAAAAAAAAAATACATTCCCACACCTACCCACCTTTACACCCATTACTCTCTTTTATTAGACTCCCCACTATTGATCTGACTTTCCTTTCTTCGACGTTTAGTATGGCACGTTAGAGTCTCAAGATGTCTAGAAATGCAAAGAAAAGTTTGCATGTTACCACATATCAGTCTGCCATTGAAATGAGCCGCTTTCAAGTAGGTTTGAAAATGGCACATTGTATTGCCTGCAAGGCGTGACACGAGTCTTCGAGCTTGGGGGTGGACTGGTGCAACCAGCACAAAACAGCAACCATTTCTCTTTCCTCTTCTTTTTCTTTGTTGCCATTGTTTTATCTCTTATTTCTTTATCTTTCTTTTCTTCTAGATGACCTCCTCTCTCTTCATGTGCTTAACTTCAACCTCTCCTCTCTGAACTTTGTTTTCATTTTCTTCTTTTTTCCTAATTTCTTTCTTTCTTACTTCTCTCTCTTTTTCTCTATCTCATTGCTTATCTTTTCTTTCTTCAACTTATGCTCTTTCTTTCAAATCTTTTTTCATTTCATTCTCCCTTTTTATTTTGTTATTCTTTTATACTAAGCTCTTTACACTTTTTCTTTTTTCTCTTTTTTCGTTCATTCTTCTCTCTTTTTTTTTATTTAGTTTCTTAGTCCTGCTTCTTTCTTCATTCTCTTTTTAACTAGTTTTTCATACTTTTCATTCTTCGAAATAATGTGTCCAATTTCTCCAGTATATTGTTCCTTTTATTTCCTTACACCTTTCCTATGTATCCTTTCCCCTGTGATTCTTCCTTGGGTTATTTTTTAAATAATTCCCTCTAGTTTCTTCCTCTTACTCTGTTTCATAATCTCTTCCTCCTTCTTCTTCATCATCTTCTGCCATTTATTATATTCTTGCTGTCATCAATGTCATTGCTATAGTCCTTTTTAGTGTTGTAGCTCCCATAAATTTACACGGCAAAATAATACCAAGGGTGGCTTTTGCATATTGCAGCCAAGATAAAACTGAAGAAATAATGGTGATGTAGAAGATGACAACATCAGCAGTAGGGATAGTGATGCTGCTGCCGTTACTGCAGTGAACAATGCAAGGAGAATAACCAATGTATTGACTGCTGACACGTGCATATGCCACTTGCAGCAAATAAAACAACAAATTACTGTAAAACAAATGGGTGATAGATAGATAGATAGATAGATAGATAGATAGATTAAAAGAAGGTGAAGCAGAAAGAAAGAAAGAAAGAAAGAAAATAATTAAGGAAGATAATAAAAAGAGGGGAATGAAAGGGATAAGAAAGAAAGAAAGAAAGAAGGGAAAGCAGAGAGAAAAAAAAACGACAAAAAAGAGAGGGAACAAGTAAGTAAGAAAGAAAGAGAGGAAGAAAGAAAACAAGCGAGAAGAAAGAGAGAGAGAGCAAAAATGGTGAAGAAGAAATACAGAAAAAGAGAGGGAAAAGAAAAAAGAAAGACAACAAAAAAGAGAGGGAACTAGAAAGAAAAAAGAAAGAAAGAAAGAAAACAAGACAACAAAATAAGAGTGAACAAAAAAGAAAAAGAAAGTGCAAAAAAGGTGAAGCAGAAAAAAAGAAAGAAAAACAATTAAGACATGCAGAAAAAAGAAAGGGAAAAGAATAAGAAAAAAGAGAGAATAAAAATGGTAAGATAAAAGAATGAATTAAAGACACAAACAAACAAAAAGAAAGAGCAAAAGAAGGTGAAACAGAAAGAAAGGAAAATAATTAAGAAAGATAACAAAAAAGAGAAGGAAGACAAAAGGGAAAAAAAAGAGAAAAAAGAAATAGAAAGGAAGAAAGAAAAAATGAAGGAAAGAAAATCAAGTCAACCAAAAATCTTTACTTCCTTATTTTCTTTGTTTTCCTTTTTGTTATCTTTGCAGGTGGCTGCAATTGACTTCTTCTTTCTCCCCATCCACACAACACGACCCACCTATCTTTTTACGATCCTTCCACCAGCATGTTTCTTGCCTTTCCCTTGATCCAACCATACACCATTTCAACATTTTTTTTAAACTTTCCCTCTATTTCTTTAACTTTATTTTCATTTTTATCAATTTTATTTCCTTTTTCTTCTTCGGCAAGAACTGGGACTGCTCTTTATTTTGTTAAAAGATATGTCAACTAGCCTCATACCTTGTACTTAAAACAGTTTTATATTTCTCATGAATAGATATTTGAACATTTAAAAATAAATATACAAGCAAATTTCCTTAGGAAGGATATATATATATATATATAATATATATATATATATATATATATATATATATATATATATATATACACACACAGAGAATCTGAATTAAGAATATATGGCTGATGGTGATCTTCATAATAAAAGTATATTTTAACACATTATCATGTTGGCATACCTGATGCAAAAATGTTCATAGTGTATTGTTAAACTGCATAAAAAAGGATGTGCTTGGGTGGGAAGGGGTTTGCTCTTTTTAATACTTTTTTTTGTTAAACCAGAGTTTAACTTGAAAATTGAGTAAATATTTATCGAGGAGTGAGTAATTTTATCTCCCCAGGGCAATTGGCAACCAAAGTAATATTGATAATAAAAAAAAATATATAAGAAGAATAAGAAGGTGAAAAAGAAGAAGATGATGATGATGATGAAGAAGAAAGTAAATAAATAATTTATTAAAAAAAAAATGAATGGTAAAAAAATTTTTCTTGCTTATATTGTAACATATTTCAAAAGAGAACACTTTTATTCTTCAGGATTTACAAAAAAATAAATAAATAAATAAATAAATAAAAATAAATTCTTTCCTTTTTATCCCTTCAGTAATTTTTTTCCTTTCTTCTTAAACCTTGATTTCTATACAAGGGTAGGAAACCTAAGTCAAGGAGTACATTAAAAATTTTTAGGCAGTTTTTTAAAATTCTTCTCTCTTAAATGGAGATGCAAGCTTTATTGATGGGTAAGGGGAGATCAGAGGTAGATATTTTTGAAGATTTTCTTAGCAGGAATTTGAAAGGAAAACAAATTTTATTTAGTGTAACATGAATTATTACTGTTGTTGTTGCTATTTATTTATTTATTTTAAAGTTTGTATTTTTTTAGTGAAAGAAAAAAGAAATAAACTCATGCTGTTATAGTTTTGGCATTAGAGAAAATTATGAAAAATTTCATTTTTAGAGTTTCATTTCCATATACTATGAAATCCTTTCTCATCATTCCCTATTTAACTGAACAGGATGAACACCATCGACTGCCATCTTTTCCTCTTTCTCAAGAGAATCTGATTTTTTGATCACTTGACAAATATTTTAAGAGAGATTTTTAACATGTGATAACACATTGTTTGATATTCATGTACTTTGTAGGCAACAGACAAACCAACCAAAGATTTTTTTTCATACCCATGCATGTTTATATCAGGCATCTGGTGGTTATTGGCAATGATCAAGTGAGTGTAAACTTCTACAGATTTCCAGGACCTTCCTCATTATTCTTGCCAATATTACTCTAGTCTGGAGGAGGAAGAGAAGAATATCATCATCATCATCATTTTTAGTCCCATGACTAAGTGTGGTTATAAGGTTACTACACAGCTAATCACCTAACCAGATACCTCTATAACTCTCAGTTGCATCCAATGTTTGAGTCTCTGTGAAGAATCTTCTAATTGAATCAGTGACTATCATCACCATCATCATCATCATCCCCATAAGCCAAATGACCTTATGTAATCTTGAGGTCGCTGCACAGCTGAGCACCTGACCAGCTTCCTACATATGTCTCAGTTGTGTGCCAATATCTGAGTGTCTGTGAAGGATCTTCTAATTAAATCAGTGACTCTATCATCATCATAAGCCAGATGACCTTATGTGATCATGATGTCGCTGCACAGCTGAGCACCTGACCAGCTTCCTACATATGTCACAGTTGTGTGCCAATATCTGAGTGTCTGTGAAGGATCTTCCCATCCACCCATTTTTCCCCATCTGTCTGCCTCTTCTTCTTTTACCTGAGGGGAACCTTGTAGGATGACAGTGGAAAGACTGTTGGCTCTTATTTCAACTTCTTCTTGACAGCAGTTATGGGGGTCTTCCAATGAACCTCTTCCTTATTTAATGACATCTCTCACTGTGTCATTTGTAATGCAGTCTATGTAGAAGATGCCTGAGATGCTTCTGCAGCATCTCATTACTAAAGCTTGGATTTTTCACTGTGGCTTTGATTTGTTCCCTTACCATTTGTTTGCATTATCAAAGAATAATAATAATAATAATAATAATAGTGGTGGTGGTGGTAATATTCTAAGGAAAGAAGGCCTGGAGAAATTAATTCTCACATGATACATAAAAAGCAAGAAGGAAAAATAAGTACACTGGATAGAGGAACAAGTACTGCAAAGATATAGTGTTGTAGAGGAGCAAATATTGCTAAAAGCAACAAAGGACAGGATGCTGTAGGGAGCCATGATTGCCCAAATACTGAAGGGTCATGACACATACACACACATATATAATTGTGTATTTGGATAGAAATCACTCTCCAATAAAATTAAAATCACTGAAAAAGTATTTCTATTATTTTTTTTTTTAATTGTGTGTGAACAAAACATTTCATTTTTGGACATAATGCATATAGATAGTGTCCAAATGATTGTTTATCCTAAGCAATTTCAGCTAATCTATTTGTTATTTTCAAAGATTCTCATTCTGCTATTGCAAAAAAAATGTGTGCTGATATGTAAACTTCATATATATATATATATATATATATATATATATATATATATAAGGTAAATAACAATAGAAAAACTATATTATTAGCCAACGCGTTTTGTCCAATATGGACTTTTCAAGGTAATATCAAAATGAATTTATTGAAAACAAAGTAACTATTAACAACAAACAAAATGTCCTAGGCAACTAAAAGAATTTTAAAAATTCGACTGTATTCATATTGTCAACTGGAAATTATATCAAGGACTTTCACATGTAGAAATATTGTTTCTGTTGTTGTGTTGAAGGAGTCAACCATTCTCTTTTGATTTCTTGATATAGTTGTGTATGTTGGCTTGGGAGAGTAGTAATTTTGTTAGTAATATATTGGAGAAACAAGCAGAAATTTTAAAAAATACATCTATGAACACAAAAGATACCTCACAAATAACAACTAATGAACTAATCATACACAGAAATAAATTCAACCACAATTTTGATTTTAAAAATGCTACACTCATAAAAAAAGAAAATAACTCACTCAGAAGGAAAATCCTCAAGAGTGCTGCCATTATATATTATCCAAATATTAGTCTATGCCCAAGTTTTTCTCAATATCACCTTTCTTAATTTCAATTCTAAGGAAATAAATTATAATCCCCATGAATCCTTAAAGTTGTCTGTTTCTTAATATAATTAATATTTGCTCTGTTTTTACATTGAGCTCTCTGGATTATATCCTCCCTAGAATTATTCATATGGATTACCAAACACATCTTTATATGTCTATCTATATATATATATATATATATATATATATTAGTAGTAATCTTATAAGTATAAGAAATTATACTCGTTCGAAAAACCTTCAGTGTTTTGATTTGCAAACCAATACCAAAGGGGAAAAAAAGGTATAAAAAAAGAAAGAACCAAGAACATGTATGTTAGCCGAAAATAATTGTCTAGCATGCAAGTCCAAAGCCCAAAGAAAAAAATAGCCGATACGAGTAGGCAAGATAACTAAATAAAGTGCTCGATACAGTAAGTAGAGCAGACCTAGTTAAACCTAGTTATATATATATATAAGTATATATGAGAATATTTTGTAAGTTTTTTATTCAGTTTTTCTTGTGGTCTTTCAATCCTTCTTTTTTGATGGCAACCTATGGGAGAATTGTACATAGTGTTTAATTCATTCATACACTTAGCCATCAAAAAGAAGGTCACAAGAAAAACTGATAAAAAAAACTTACAAAATATTCCTTGTCTGTCATATTCAACAAAACATGTATAAAAGAAGGGTTTCTATCAAAATATAAAATTTACACACATATATAGAACATAACGCTTTGAAGAGAAAATATTATGAAAATATATTTATAGCAATAACTATTAACACATGTTTAAAAAACTACATTACATCACAATTTTTCTATGGATCTATTATTCATGAATCTAACTTATCTCTTCTGAATACATAAAAATCAATGAAGATATATACAAAATATGTAAGAGATATACTTTAATGAAAAAGTAAACCTAACAAAATTTTTCAAAACATCCTGCAGCATCTCACAAACTTTTAGACGCTTTAGAATCCAGAATGTTTCTCACACATATCTGAATATTATCTGTTACTTCATTATCTGTGATATATATCTAACCAATAATAAATAACCAAAGACACCATACCATTAATCTACATCTCTTTTCTTTTTATCACTTTTTATCATTTCTATCCTGATCTCTGATGAAGTTTTAATAAAGTGAAACATGTCAGATTGAGAGCTGTTTCTCACTTGTTATTTATCCTATCATTTTGCCGGATTCCTATCCATACTCTCTCTGTCTGTCTGTCTCTCTGTCTGTCTGTCTGTCTCTCTCTCTCTCTCTCTCTATATATATATATATATATATATGTATGTGTGTGTGTGTGTGTGTCTGTGTGTATATACATATCTATATGTGATTAGAATGTGACCATGAAACCTTGGTTCAAATTTTACCTTTGTCAATTTGTCAGGAAGGTGAGTTTTTGATGTTATCAGTCTGGGATAGCAATTCCAGCATGTGTCAACTTTGGAACATGCTTGACAATCATGCCTTGCAAGCAAATTTGGGTAGACAGAGCTCTTTGGAAGATGTTGATAGTTGTGCTAGCACAAAGTCACAAATCATCTTGACCAAAAGTTTGAGTTATATTTGTGTTGTTCAAACTACTGATCATGCAAGATTATACACTCTCTCCCAGAAATTGCAATTAATGTTTCCTCAGCAGGATAAACCACAGGCGGATTCTGTG